GGTGGCCCATAGAGTATGAGCTAAACCACCAGTAGCACATGGAGTATGAGCTATGAACAGTGGCAATTTTCCATCCTGACCTCAGTCAGGATCAGTTGGAGAAGGAGGAGGAATCCACTTCAGGGTGACAGATTGTCTTCTAATCCATGGGCTCTCCCTAGCTGAGCCTGCGGGTGAAGGCCCTGAAGCGACAGGTGGATGAGGCAGAAGAGGAAATTGAACGGCTGGATGGTTTGAGGAAGAAGGCTCAACGTGAGCTGGAAGAGCAGCATGAGGTCAATGAGCAGCTTCAGGCTCGGGTGAAGGCCCTGGAAAAGGATTCCCGGTAGGTTGCATAGGGGTGGGGAGGGAGAGATGGTGGAGGAGAAGGTGAGGCTGTGATCAGCACCTGGATTCTTGCTGGCCTTGTAAGGAAGAGCACCCTTAGGTGCTCTATTAGAGAACTTAGGTCTTGGTTGACTTGTATGCATGATAGGTCTGCAATGCTCCCTGGTTGGATCCCAGTAATATGATCATCTCTAGTATCTAGGTGGCACAAGTAGATAGAGCATCTGGACCTGGGCTTAGGAAAACTGAGGTCAGCCCCTGCCTCAGACACTTATTAGCTGTGTGTCCCAAAGCAAGTCACTTAACCTCTGTCTGCCTTAATTTTCACAGCTATAAAATGGGGATAATAATAGCACTCACCTCCTGGGGTTGTTGTAAGAATCATATTTGTAAAGTGCTTGGCAAACCTTGAAGTGCCATATACATTAGCTGTTATTATGATGATCTTACCTGAGGTGAGAGGAGATTTTAAAAGCAAGGTCTTTTCAATTCAACAAGCATTTATTAAGTGCCAAATGTACAAAATACTTTGCTAGGTACTAGGGATATAGAAAGAAAAAAAATTAGGGAAAATGGTCTTTTTTCCCAAGGAGATTACGTTCTAGTTGTTGGCTGGGCCAGATTAGGCAAAAGAATTGGGTTTTGACTGCAATCAAATATGCATCAGTTCTCCTCACTATTGGTGTGCGCTCTCTCTCGCTCCCTCTCTCTCTCTCTCCCTCTGTCTCCTCAGGCGTAAGGCTACCAGATCAGCAGCTGAGGCATCCCTCAAACATGATGGCCTGAGTTCAGATGAGGAATTTGACAGTGTCTATGACCCCTCGTCCATTGCATCACTGCTCACTGAGAGCAACCTCCAGACCAGTTCGTGCTAGCCAGTGGTCAGCAAGGAATCTATTGGCCAAGTTGCAGAAGGTCCTTCCCTCCAGCCCTAGGCTCCCTTTCCCCTAGTCCACCAAATGACCCTGCTAGAGGTTGCATTTGGATGGTGTTAAGGGGAATTCCTGAGCATGGGCCAGAGCAGGGCTGTGGAATGGACTTTCTGTCCCCTCCTCTCCATGTGAATACAGAGTTTGAGTGGGAGTGGGTAGGTGGCAGGGGAGAAGAATTAAGAGATTTAAACCTCTAGAGCTTGTATTTTTTCAGCATCTTTATCCTAAGGCTCAGGGACATTCCCGATGTGATCCCTTTACCCATCCTTTTCCTGATTGGGTAAGGAGGCTTGGGAGAAAGGAGACATCATGGGCTGTGGACGCGCTGGCGTGGTCCTGCCTGCTTTTCTTTGCACAATCCTGGGAGCCACTAGGGTACCCCCGTACCTCTAGACCTTCCATTTGACCTTTACCTGCTTTGAGCCAGCAGCTCCAAGGGAGCATTTCTCCTTTTCCCAAGAGTCAACCTTCTTACCTTCTTCTCTGTGCCTTAGCTAGGTGAGGAAATGAGGTGGTTCTCTAAACACAACCTCCTCATATAGCCATCAGGTTCCCCTCTTGGTCCTCATGCTCATCCTTACTCCCCAGGTAGCTGGTTAAGAAGGTAAAACAAGGCAAGCTGTCTTTGGTTCCTGGTGAAAGGAGAGCTGAAAAGGGCCTGTGCTAGGGTAACATGGTGTTGTGGGAAGGACTTCTTATGTTTGTGGGCTTCCCCTGGTGGCTACGTGGTTATGATTTGGTTGGGGCCAGGGAGCTCTGCCAGCTGTCTAAATACATTTAAAGATTCACAGATCAAAGGGCCTCTTCAGGTCTAATGGTTCTCCTGCAGCCTTCCCACAGATCTATTCCTGGCTTCAACAGGGAATCCAAAGATCCCTCATTTTCTCAGGAGGCTGGTCCTTAATGCTAGCTCCTCTGCCTCAAGCTGGGAATTCTGACTTGGAATGGAATGGGAGGAGGAAATGAAGACCTCCATCCTGCCTTTGGCTTTTTAGGACAGACCCAGCCCCCATGAATCATCTCCAGGAGCCTGGGGGAGGGAAGCATGACTACACTCACCAATGACTTGTAACTTTGTGATTTCTGTACCACTGTTCCTTGGGCAAATCAGATATCTCTCTTTCCCTCCAATTTTTTTCTTCCTTGACTTTATTTTAAATTAAATACATATCTTTATATTGTGAACCTTGTTACGCCCTCGTCTTCCCTGTGTGGTTGTTTTCCTTTGAAGTAAGACCCTTTTAACTGCTGGAGTTCACAGCACTACGTGATGGGGCAGGGGAGGGGAGGGGGCTGAGCAGCACAAGCTGGGGCCTGAGAGAAACCCAGGGGTCCTGGCATTACAACCTATCTCATTCTCCACTAAATTCAAGGGAAGTGCAAAAGGCATGGAGGTTGTGGAGTCTGTTAGGGGCAGAGGGGCTTTGAAGGGGTGGAAGGAATGACTGGGCAGATATAGAACTGGTTCTCTTATTCCCTGGGGCTATCAGGACAAGGAGAAAGGGAACTCCCCAACATCCATCTCTCAGGTGCAAGGGTCCCCACCCATTCTTAACTCGGCATAGGGCCCAATCCCTGCCTGGGGTAGCCTGGAGTGGTGGGGGCAGAGTTTCTGCCAATCCTGTTCAAGTGTCTGCTTTGAAAGGGGAAGCCGCCCCAAAGCCTATCCTATCTCCAGGCATGGGTTTATCTCTAGTGCCTGTTCACCTCTGCACTACCTTCCAGGGTACCTGATGGATTTGAGTTTTAGCAGCACAAGGGTGTGACAACAGCAAACTTGCCAAACATGTGCCTGGGGCCACCCACAATCCTTCCAATGCCACACTCATGGCTCATTTGGAGAAAGAACACTAACTTCCTGTCACCCAGGGTGGTAGTCACCTGCCTAGAATAGTAGAGTGCCTGAGCTAGGCACTAGAACCTCTGGGTCTCATGCCAAAGCTTCACTCTCTTGTCTTCTCTTCCTTTGAGATGTTTAAGTAGAAGAAAGGGGCTTTTGCTCACCTGTCTTGGCAATTTCTTCTTGCCTGTTCATATTTCTTGAGCCATTGTTGGAAAATTGCTATCAACATGAAAACGGTGATATGCTTGCCTACATTCCTTTGCTATTACTTGTTTACATAGTCATAAAAGGACATTGGTAGACTAGAGTCCATCCAGAAGCATGCAACCAACTGGATGAGAACACTGAGAAGCCATGAATACAAAGATTATTTGAAGGAAAGGGGCTGTTTTGCCTAGAAAACAAGACTTAGGGAGGAGCCTGAAAATAGCTAATAATAACAGCTAACACCTAGTGCTTTACGGTCTGCAAAGTGTTTTACATATATTATCTCATTTGATCCTCAACAACCTGGTGAGATAGGTGCTATTTTCCTCATTTTTACAGATGAGAAAACAGAGATTAAGTGATTTGCCTACAGTCACACAGCTTAGTTACGTGTGGCTGGATTCAAACTCGGGTTTTCTTGACTCCAAATCCAGCACTAACATCTATTCCACCAAGCTGCCTTTGAATGATATTGCTTATCTTCAAATAGTGAAAGGAATGTCATGTGCAAGGGAGGCTAGATTTATTCTAGTTGGCTCCAAAGGGCAGAATCCAGCAATGCACGGAAGTTGCAGAAGCAGATAAGGAAAAGGAAAAACTACAAGTTAGTGTTCTCCCAAAGTGGAATAAGCTGGCACTGAAATGGCTGGTGATCCCCATCACTGAAACCCTTCAAGTGGAGCATTGACCTTTTGTTGAGGGAATTCTTAGCCTGTTCCAGTTTGGACTAGATAACCTGTGAGATTCTTTCCAACGGGGAGATTCTACGATTTTGCGAAGCATACAAGATGGCTCCCTGGGATCAAGTTACAAGACTAATGAGGGAGGGCAAGCCCATCCAGTTCCTGGGAGTACAGATGGTCTTTGGCAGTTCGGCCCACCTGTATGGCCTGTAGAGGAGAGCAGCTGCAGTTGAGTCTGAGCCCCGCCCGGGCAAAAACAAAACCAACTGGCATTCACGGGCAGGTTCCTGCCAAATCAGGGCACCTGACAAACAGGCCTAAACCCAGCTTTAGTGAGGTGGACTTGCTGACATGTATAACTACAGAGGGAAGGGAAAGGGGCCATCCAGCCCCACAAAGCTCTCAGGCTCACAATCTCCCTCACAGAGAGAAAAGACCTTTTTTTCCCCCCAGCCTTTTACAGATGAAGAAACTGAGGTTTGTCCAAGTAGCAGAGTCTCCAAGTCAAGAGAGTCTACAACACCTCTTCCCATTGCTTGACTGGATTCCTCTGTGGAGTTCTAACACCTCCCCCACCTAGTACCCAATCCATCCAGAACAGCTGGGAACTGATTATTTCCTTGGGGCGGGGGAAGGAGTCGGTGAGGAAGGCCAGTTGGAGAGGAAAAGGATAGGGAGGGAGAAAGTTAACTTGAAAGTCAGATGACCTAGAATCTACTTTACTTACTACCTGCTTGACTTTGGATAGGCCCCTCCCCCTCTCCGGGTCTCAGATTTCTTAGCCGGGCTGGGCCACATTCATCTCAGCGTTCTGGTACTTTGCTACTCTTCCTATGCTCCTGGGTTGTAAAGTAACGCGACCGAAATTAACATTGGAGACCTGGGAAATCACTCCTGTGTGGCGCCATAACCCCGCCCTTTATGCAAATAGAAACTGCCACCAAGAGGGCGTGTCCAGGCTCCTAATACCCTGGCACGCCCCTAGCTGCTTCCCCCCCCCTTCTTTGCTCTCTTCCAGTTGGCTGAGCTTAGACTAAGAGGAGGCGTGGCTTCCCCGGCTGCCCTTAGCCCGATGCTCCTATATATAGGGGGGCGGGTATCAGCCTCCCGCCTTCCCACTCGGATCTGGACCGCCGCGGAGGTAGGTGCTGGCCTTTTCGGAGCCGCTCCGGAGCGGTCCGGGGCCAGAAGACAATGAACGGGACGCGCTCCTGGTGTGCGCTGGTGGACTTGCACTCCGAGGGGGAGAGCGCGGTAAGAAGAAGGGGCAGCGGCCGGCCGGGTGCGGTCCCGTCCCCCATCCCTTCTTTCCCTGCCCTGCTCCCTTTCCCCGCCCCATCCCCAGTTTCGCACGGTCGTTTTAGGCGTTTCCTCCCACTTCTGTGCCCCTTCCCTTTCCATTCCCCATCCTCCCTCCGGGCACCTCTCCCGGAGCTGGTTCGGGAGTATCGGGCCCCCTGCGCTTGGAGGGCGACAGCCCGTCCCTGGCTCCCCGGGACACTGCCGATGGCGGTGACGACTTTTGCCCTTGAACCTTGGATCACTCGTCGACTCATCTTTGCGAGAGAGAGAGAGGGAGGGAGGGAGGATATATTTCGATTCCACCTGTCTTCATGAAACCCTTGGCCATATGCTGGGTGTTTTAGCTAATTGTACATGGGAATAAAGGGAAATAAATAGCCTCTGCCCTCCCAGAACTTACATTCTGCTGGAGAGCGGCACTCGTGCACACAAGGAACTTATACCAGGTTGTTTGAGAAGAGAGACAGAAATAGCCATTAAGAGGAAATCAGGAAAGGCTTTTTATAGAGAGTGGCAACCTTAGCTGATGATCCTTGAAGGAAGTTGTAGATTCTTTGATGCCGGTGAGGAGCCAGAAGATCATAGGGGAAAGAGTCAAGTGGATTAGGAGTCCGAGTTAAGATCTTAATTGCTGTGTGAACCTGGAAAAACTGATGAACTCTGTCTCTTCAGTTTTTCCTCATCTGTAAAATGGGGATTTTAATAGTATTTAATGTCCCCACCTTACGGGTTCATTGTGAGGCAAATCACTTTGACTACCTAGAAGTGCCATGTAAAAGAGTGATGGTGTAATGCGTGGTGGTAATGAATTTATGTGACAGGGCTGTGAATCCAGGGAGGTCTTGCTTTTTATTTACTTTGTATTTGATTATCTCTCAGTTTCTGGTTTCTGTTTGTGTCCTGTAGCATCAGAGATGCACCTGAGCTCTTAAAAGATTGATGCAGGGTACTTTTTGGACTAACAACAATAAAAAAGACTGGGCCAGCCCTTTCCCTTCCTATTCAGGTTCCTGAGGTTTCTCCTGTGGAGCGAGATTCAAATGAAAACCACCCAGAGTCATGTCCTTCTTTGAGAGAGGGGCTTTTTCTGCTATGCAGAGACCCACCTCCCAGGAGAGTCTCTCATGGAACTATGCCTCTATCCTCCTGCTCTAACCCCCACCTATTTCTGGTGTGGCCCAGAGCGTCTTTTAGTTTTACTTCCGTCTTTGATCTCCAAGTCTGAGGGAGGCCAGGGAAGAGGAGGAGTTGGGCACTGGTCCTTTGCTACACTGGGACCAGGGATCTCCCCGCCCCAATGCATGTGTGCCCCACCACTTCTTTGTCCCCTCTCACCCCACTACCTAGCTATTCCTAGAGTTTCCTGGGGAGAGGAGGTGGAGGGTTAGTTGGGTGGTTCTGTGTTTTCTGGCTCCTCTAAGGAACTTTAACCCAGCGTGGGTGTGTCTGGTTTCATGGATTTTCAAGCTGCTATGCTTTAGAGTGAAACAGGATAGGTGATGTTTGTAAGGAGGTGTGTCTCCTTTCTCTCTGGATTTTATTCTCTTCTTCTGTGGCTGCCTGATGCATTGTCCTTGAGGTAGCCCTTATCCAACTCACGTGTTAATTCAGTTAAATTATATTTGTGCCGTGGTAATTTCATATAATTGGCATTGCAATAGTATTCCCCTTGTCTCCTGCCCCCCCAGCAAGGGAAATCGAGTTTCTTTCAAGCAGATGGATGCCTTGGTCCTATTCCCACCAGACCATATCTCCTTATAGGCAGTGGTTACTTTTCTTTCTTTATCCTGTCCGCTTCTGGATTCTTAACAGGAGGACATTCACTCTCTTTTGTCCTTTGCCCTAGCCTAGCTGTATGGTTTGTTTCTCCCAGTACCTGATGGGGGCAGGGAGAAGGTGTGGGGGGAGGGGGCGGAGGGTTCAAGGGGCAGGGAATGAACAGGAAGAAGGATATTCAGGTCTCTACAGAGGAAGAAACTGAGTCTCAGAGATGGCACTCCTGAGGTTATTGGGCCAAAGCACTGGTTTTATTGAGAGTGGATCCCTGTTCCTTCAGTCTCTGATTTTTTTTCCCTTGTCTGGTAGAGCAGAAAAATGGATAAGGAAATGAGGAGAATGGAATTCAGACCCTCTTCTGCTTTCAGAAAGAATCTAAAACCAGATGCCTTTGAACAAAGGGGAGGTAGAAATTCCCTCATGCTTTTTGTCCATAGGGGTCAAAGCAAAGGTTTATCTTACACTGAGATTAGGGAGGAATGAACTGGCCAGTTACTAGCTCTTCCTGAAACTTGAAGTAGGTGGGTGGGGATGAAAAGCAGGCGAGCAGAGAAGGCTGCCCCCCACCATGATGTCCTGAATTTTTCTCTTCTGACCCAGCCCAAGGCAAGCACCTAGGATTTATGGCTCTCTGGCTGGTCTCCAAAAATCCGTTAATACTTATTGATGGATTCCTCTGTGGGTGGGGAGTATAGCTAGCTGAACCAAAACATGGAATCCAGGAGGGGAGTCAAGAACCAGGATGGCTTTTGGGGTTTTCCTGTCTTTGCATGTCTAGGAACACATGTGGACCTGATTTATATGAGCCTTAAAACATCCTCTGACTTCCCCTTTCTCTGTTGAGGAGGACAGCAGTAGGGATGAAGGAAAATGGCAGATAACCTAAATGATTCTTATTTAAATGAATTGAAAAGCATTTGTTAAATGCTTCGGATGTGCCTCGATCTTTGGCGTGGATTCTCTATCTTTGCTAAACTTCCCCCCCTCTCCAAGATTCACCTTCCTACTTCTTGTTATCTGCTTAACCTTTCCTTAACCCTTTCTTTTTTCTTTTTGGTGAGGCATTCGGGGTTAAGTGACTTGCCCAGGGTCACACAGCTAGTGTGTTTCAAGTGTCTGGTCTGAGATGGGATTTGAACTCGGGTCCTCCCGACTCCAAGGCCAGAGCTCCAAGGCCACTGCACCACTTAGTTGCCCCCCTTAACCTTTTTTGAGGGGACACTTGTGGCAAGTCTGGTGAAGCCAGTGGGCCCCCTCCTCACATAATGTTTTTAAAATGCATGAAACACATCAGATTACAAAAGAAACCAATTATATTGAATTGTAGTTATCAAAATTTTTTTAAAAAGAAAAAAACCTAAGTTCTTGGACTCAGGCTAAGAACTCCTGGCCTTAGACTATTTTGTTTTCATTCCTTGCGCATAGCAGGATGGGAGCATACTAGATGGGGAAGAACTGACCCAGAATTTAAAATTCATTATACATCAGCTATGCCTAGATAATTGAGCTGGCTTATAGATGACGTGTTTAGAATCTTATCTTGCTCTGATTACATTCTTCACCTTTTTCTCACCCTTGGTTCTGTCTTCCTTTTCTTGATTCAGATGCCCCTCCCCCCCTTTAAGTGGGAGCGTGAAAGAAGTTTGAGAGGAGCTAAGAATGGGTACAGAACTGTGGTTTAAAAAAAGAACAACCCAGGAATTTCTATAATTGTGATATCTCAGCCCCATTAGGGAAACTGAGGCCACATTTTGTATCTTGGTAGACCACTGAGCCTGCTTTCCCTGCCCTTCTCTTCCTTTTCAGCCCCTTCTCCTCACTTTGTGCCTCAAGCATGGCATATGTGATGGAAAGAGCCATGTACATAGAGGGAACCCAGGACCTGGGTTCAAAATGGGGCTCAGTGGGGCCTTTGGCAAATTGCCTTTCTCTGTGTCTCAGTTTCCTCATCTGTAGAAATGAAGAGGTTGAGCTCATAGGCCTCTTCCAGCTTCAAATCCTTTGGCCTTATGGCACGTCTTATTTGTTCTGCTCAATGAGGAAAGAAATCTGATATACTAATGTATGCTACAGGGTTAATGACTTTCTGAAGTACATTTTCATGTTACAAGGAGTCAGATGGAAGATAATTCTTAACCCAAAGGCATGGATAGGTCCTATATTGGTGGAATTTCAGGAATCCATGATAGGTAGATGGAGGAGATGTTTGGAGGATGAGTCTGTTGCTTCCTAGCTAAATAACTATCTGTTCTACCTATGCCCTGGACTCTGCCACCTTCTCTCGTAGTCTTTTCCTCCCATTTTGGTAGCCTAGAATGCATAGATTGTTAGAACTAGAAGGAGATTTAATATAGAGGTTGTCTAGTCTAACCCTGTAATTTGGCAGATGAAGGACCTGAGAGTCCCATAAGCAGAGGGTGACAGAGCCGAGACTTGACACCATGTTGCCATTTTCATAAATGCATATTTGGTCTTGCTAAGTTTGTCAGGATCTGGAGCTAATTAATTAGGCCTAGGCTCTACAGAGAGGTGAGAAGAGTGCATGGTGTAGTAGAGAGTTCAAGCCTTGGAATTAAGAAGACCTGGGTTCAAATCCTGCCTCAGATACTTATTAGCTTTGTGACCCTGAGCAAATCACTTAAACCTCTCTGAGCCTCAGTTTCCTCATCTGTAAAAAGTAGATAGCATAAAGATAACATGAGATAATGTTTGTGAAGGACTTTCTAAACATCAAAGCACTTGTGTCGACCTGAATGTTGTTCTCAGGTCTCTTCTTGTACTACATAGAGTTCAGATAGTACCAGTCTGAGGACAGGTTGTATTGTTCTTTTATAATTAGTGTTCAGAAGATTATTGCACAGGTGGATAAAATTATGTTCTTTGTGATTGATTATTATTAGTAGGAATAATAATGATAATGATGAGGAGGACCGGGGAAGGGAAGTGTTACATAATCCCTAGGTATTTCCTCAGGGTGGAGGTGGGGTGTGCACCCCAATAGTTTCAGTTCCAGACACATGTACTGCTTGTAATTGTAGTGCATGCTTCTCTGGGTCATGGCACTAGAGTCCCTTATGAAATAGCATAGTTTCCTGGGGTGGGGGATGGGATGGAGAAATCCACAGCTGAGATTTGATCCTGGCTGGTTTGGGGTGGGGGGGAAGAGAACAAAATAG